TATACATACATCCATCAAGTATATGAAGTGCATTTTAAAGCACACAAGCTTATCTGGCAGCTGACGGGAACCCATAGTGGTGTCATATCGATATCATGATAAAAAATAACGTGTTTTAATAATGGATAATAGCTGCTATCAAAACTGATATGGAATGTAAACAGTAATTCGCGGTTTGCAAAGCTTTGCTGCTACATTAGTGTTCGGAATACCAGAGATAATGGAAAACATAACATCACATTGTAATAAAATCAATGATTTTTGTTCATTGTGTGTGGTGTGTTTGTGGGAGAGCCATGCTTCGGCACGAATGGGCCGACTCGACCGGAGTGATACCACGGCCTCAAAGAAAACCGACGTGAACAACGCTTGCGTTGTGTTTCGTCGTATGAGTGAGGTTACCGGAGACTAGGGAGGGGTCCCTAATCTGCCGAATCCCCGAATCCTCCACAATTCTCAAATTCCTAATTCCCAAAAGGCCGGTAACGCACTTGTAACACGTCTGGTGTTTCGGGTGTCCATGCGGGCGGCGCCGATTGCTTACCATCAGGTGAGCCGTCTGCACGTTTACCGGCTTATGCCATAAAAACAAATTAAAGAGCTATGTAAAGGTACATTCATGGCAAGTCGTTGGTCATTTAACAAATCGTTAGGAAATATTAGGTATCCGAGATCTCACTAAGGCGACTGTGTACCTGTCCTGATTATGTTTTGGACCCACCTATTATTATGTTCTACGTTTAGCTTTGGAGGTATTTCCTTTGATAGTGATACTGCTGAGATTGTGTCAAGGATTAATCCTCAAACCTTCTCTGTGTGAGAAGGGGCTTTGCTCAGCAGTGGGCATTTATAGGTTGTTGCTGATGATGATATCTGATGACGATGCTAGAATAGGTGTATTAAATTACCTATATTATTAATAAGCATTTTTATCTCGTTTTAGACCCTTTATCTGTTAAATGACTAGATAACAGTGATTAGTACGCATAACGATGTTTTAATGAGTTGCATACGACCTAATGAGAAATACTTTTTGTTTTTAGACTCCTGTAGCAGTTTGGTATAGTCATTATTTCTTTATGAGTTCTTAACTTAGAGTTTCATTCATTTCCTAGTCCATTCTTGGATCAAGTCAATTATACTTTTTAACCGACTTCATTGTATTAATGGCTTACTTACTAACTGTTTGATGAGAGAGTCGATTAGTTCCAAGAAACGCTGGGGTAACTAAAATCTCGGGTTACCCACGTGAATATACTGAGAAAAGCTCTACTAGTTTCGAACCACAGAGGGGTTCTTCCTCATGAGCAGCGTGCGCGGTCGCGGCGATGTCGCGCAGTTCACTCTCACGCGATGAAACTAATGGAGTTTTTCTCAGTATTTTCACGTGAGTAACCCGCGAATTTTGTTAATTTAGTATATCTCACGATAGTTATTATAAAAACATATATATATCTCATATTCATGAGAAGTATTTTTTATGAAAAACTATTTCTATTTTAACGGTTATCTTATAGTATCCAATGTTAGGAGTTATCTAATAGCCTTACCTTTTTCATAAATAACTCTTTAATTAGCTCGACAGACGTAATATCAGTTGTATGCTATACTGCTTGCAACAACACACCCACGCTTATACATGCAACATATCAAAGCAATCTCATACAGACTCCTTTTATAAACTCGTTATAGAGGATAATTAATTTATTTTTGTAACTATTTCTTCATTGTTTATTTTTTAAATGGGTATTTATTAATGTACATGCTTCGTTGGTTGAGTGGCCGGGATTGCGATTGCAGAAAAAGAGATTTTGAGTTTGATAGTATAGCATAGCATACTTAGCATAGTCGTGCAAAACATTAGGTCGCATAGTCCCAGTCCACGTTCTTACCATCCGCGTCTGTACTACCAGCTGCATGAGGAAAATATAAGTTATAAGTTTTGTTTTAAGATTATTCGAAAATACATTGTGTCCGAAATTGTGTTTGGTGTTTGGTAATAAGCTCACACTTTTTATATAGGATTATTATTGTTACATATAATGAACTGCCTCGTTGGCCGAGTGGTCGCAAGTGCTACTGCCGGGCAAGGGGTCTCGGGTTCGATTCCTGGGTCGGGCAAAGCATAACTGAGTTTTAAAAAATATCTCAGTAGTAGCACGGAGTCTGGAAATGTGCCCGATATATGCCAATAGGCTCACCCCCTATTACATGGGACTCATAACATAAATAGTGAAAAATGGGTGTTACTTATGTGTGCACCTCTGCCTACGTGATAAAAGGCGTGATATTATTATTATACATACGATGAACGATAGTTTCAATAAATCTTTCGTCCAGTTACATTGAAAATTTTAATATTCACATCAGTAGCAATAAAAAGGATGGAAGTAACAACTACTTCGAGCAGATAATTTGTAAAAAAATAACGTTCTTTGAATACATAATTCTCAGTACAATTTTAATTTACACGAAACGTAGGTACAACGAAGTCTGCGAAACATTAATCTTGGAACTTATTTTAAAAAACCTTATTTTCACTGACTGTTAATGTAAAACACGTGGAAAACTGAAATTCATAAGGCAGTCTACATTTATCAATTTCAGTCATAAGGTAGGTAGTACTTTATCATGGACTTTATTAAATTTACCTATTCTAGTGTACCCATAGCTGGTATTGCTTAAACACAGGGCATTGAAAAGACGCTTTTTTATTGTCAAACTAATAAACAGCGCCAGTTTTTTTTTATGGAATCGGAGGATACGGATCACCTGATGGTAAGCGATCAGCGCCGCCCATGGACACCCGCAACACCAGAGGAGTCACAGGCGCGTTGCCGGCCTTTTAAAAAGAAGTACGCTCTTTTCTTGAAGGTTTGAAGGTCGTATCGGTTCGGAAATACCGCCGACGACAGATCATTCCACAGTTTTGCTGTGTGAGGCAGGAAGCTACGTGAGAAGCGCACAGTTTTGCTACAAATCCCATGTTATAGAGGATAATAAATGAGCCTTAATAGGTATTTGCATTAAACTGTCAAACACCGAGCGGTCACCGGTGACCGCAACCTATTGTTCTTTAATTGTGTCTATAATGACGGTACTCAACGAGTTAAACTACTATAATTCTAACGATATTAGTAAAAATAATATATTTTGAGTTGTACATGTGGCTTCTACGAGTTCTCAGGTCCAACCTGGGAGCTTAGTCTTGAATCTAATTCCGATCGATCGACGTCGGTATTGTGAAATTTCGTACTCTCGAGTTGCAACCTTAGCGCCCATTACATCCGTATTGCGTGGATATTTAATGACCTAAATGGTACTGAGTTTGGATTTATATTCCGTACTCGGAATGCTATTTTAACACCTACGATAAGGGTATTGAGACTTTATTGGATTGAGATTGCATTGACATTGAGATTGGTTTCAAGAGTAAGCGCCCTAGCCTGGATTCTTTCTCCAGGTTCGAAGATTTTACACCGGCGTACTTTTGCCTGACTTGTTTAAAACTCAAACGTAGTTTGGTCATATCTTAAAGTCTAAATACAGACTGAGATTATTAATAGGTATTTTATAACCGGAGTTTCTATAGGATTCTACACATTGGAATAAGCAAATAGCTAAACTTTTATTTTACTACAGGGTTACTGGTAACTCGACGTATTCCTTGCAGGACGTCATAGTAGGGTTAAAATGCTGCAAAATTACAGTACAATTTTTAAGCCAATTAAAAAATTGGCTCCAAATGATTTAATCTGTCAGGTTTTTTTCATAAAAACCTAAAAATCTAAATAACTAAAAAACTACTGAACTTCGATAGAACATTTGGTGTCCTAATTTGCTGCATTTTAATCCTACTATACCTTGCAAGGAATACGTCGAGTTACCAGTCAGCCTGTATAGAAATATCAGAAACAAAAATAGTTTCCCTGTTTACCAGTTTTCATTTTATTTCAAATCCTCCTTGAATTGTAAGTTCGCTCAAACTTGGACATTTTCCGATATACCTAAGTTTCAAGTTTCTACCAACCACTATTTCATATCTCAATAAAAATATATTTTCTGTCAACAATAATAGATAAGGCGCGGTGGTTGGGCAACTGACTGCCGCGCATCGTGTCGTGGGTTCGATTCCCGCACGGAACAACTCCATGTGTGATCCACAGATCGTTGTTCCGGGTCTGGGTGTCATGTGTATGTGAACTTGTTAGTTTGTAAACGCACCCACGACACGGGAGAAAATCCTAGGTGGGACAATGTTTTAAAAAAAATGATATTGCTTTTCGTATAACAATCTTTTCGATTGGCTGTATAGAAAAAAAGAAAGAAAGAAAGAAAATTATTTATTTGTCGTTACAAAATACAATAACAAGATAAAATGTAAAACAAATTGTGAAGACTTGGATGAAGGTTTAACCTAAGTTTTATGTAGTGTTTCGATCTCTAGATTACTCTATCTTGGTTAAAGTACCATATCTTTATACTAGATAAAATACGGCAGTGGCGGCGGCTATATTTGTACTAGATAAAATACGGCAGTGATATGATTTTTATTGTACTTATTCTTAGTATCAACTAGCTTCTGCCCGCGACTTCGTACGCGCAATCTCGGTTATTCCCGTTCCCGTTCGTGATTTATGGTAAAAAAAATAAGTGAAAACAGTATCCTATGTCCGTCTCCTGGTTCTAAGCTACTTCCCCACCAATTTTCATCCAAATCGATTTACCTGTTCTTGTGTTATAATAAATAGTGTAACTAACATGACTTTCTTTTATATATATAGATAACACTAATGCTTAACTACTGAAAAGGTAAGGCAAGGTTGTAGTAACGTCACCTAATTGAGGACAACAAAGAAGAATATCTTCTTATAAATCTATGCATTAACTCCTCTGGTGTATCGAGCATCCATGGGCTGCACCAATTACCATCAAGCGAGTTACATTTTAAAAAGACCAGTCACTTTCCTTTATTTAATTCTGTGTTCTTCTTCCACCAGATATTACCAGGCCAGCGTGAAATGCCGTACAAGTGGGCAGCCTACCTTCTCTTCCACATGCACTTCGCTCAGATCTTCCACACAGCATCTATATGTCTCACATTGTCGCTAGCAGTATGGAGATATGTGGCTATCAAGTAAGTAAAAACGTTAATATTATTTTTTTATATTTAGATGATAAATCTTCCTTATTGTCTATAGCATTAATACTATATTATTGAGCGAATGTAGAGGTATAGGTAAAATCTAAGATGCGTCGGTTTGTGCTCCTGTATCAATTATACATGTTTCTAATAAAATATTAGAGTCAATGAAAAGAGAAATAAATAACAATATTCGAAGAAACTAATCTAAACTATTTTTTTTAACACGTGTCTTATGTAATCGTATTATTTTCCTTCAAATTATTTATCGTTGCTTCCGTCCGTGCGTCACTGCAGGGGTGCCAACTGAAAACCAGTGTTGGGTACTTACTGTGCCCAGCTGAAACTGAGGTAGCGAGCCTTTTCGTCGTGGGCATGCTCACATGTATGTCTGTCTGTCTCACAAAAGTTATAATAACTAATGGTTCAATATATGTAACAACTGCACGAACTATGTAGACTTTACCATAATTAACTATGGAAATATTTAAAATTCCGAGATCTGCCAAAGTATTCTTCCATATTAAATAAGGTACTCATGGTATTTGGCCTTTGTTATTCGAACCATTTTGCCCAGTTATGAACTATACAAATACTTCGTGAATTTACTACGAAACTTTCCATACAAATAAGGGAGCTTTAAGTAATTCGTATTTACACGCAAAGTTGTTATAGAGATTTAAACTTTATTAAAACTGTAATAAGATATTTTTCGGATTAGAGCTTCTGTATTGAACAAAAATATGGCTTGTTTTGAAAACTGTGTACAATATAACAATTAAAGTAAGTTTAAATAAAGGCTGTTTTGAGATGTTTTCCGTAGTCTTTCAAAGTAAAATATTAGGTACAATAAACGAGGAAGTATGCAGAATACAAAGTGAAGGCAAAAAGATGGAGGCTACTGTTTATATTGTTCTTAAACAAAGTATCAAGAAAGTTTCCCGGTGGGACGGCAGAAACATACTTATTTTCACTAGACCCGATGGGGGAATGGGTCTCGAGATTTATTTCGGATTTAAGAACCAATAATATTTATCAATCAAACCATAGTCATTGTGATAATAATGTGATGTATTCGATCTTCGTCCTTTAAGGAAATACATTTTTAAACTTAATCATCCGAAATGCTAAATAAATTTTGATTTTAGTACAAAACTCATGGTTCTCATCTGATATAAACTACTTCGCAGTAAAAATAGGTGCCTGTTATTTATCGATTTAAGTGAATCTTTATATAAGCTAAAATAAAGAGAAAGTTAGTATGTAGTACATAAGTAATATACATATATAGCGAAAGAGGTATATAAGAATCGTAGCAATAGGTATTCCATAGTTTTTGCCTACCCCCCTGTGAGACAGAAGTGAGGTTCTATATTATTATGTATTGTATGTATTGTATGTATGCATGTGTGTAATCCTTACTTATATTATAAATCGAAAAGTGAGTTTGTTTGTTTGTTCCACTTTAACGCCGTAATTACTGAACTGATTGCTTTAAAATTTTGCAGACGTAAAGTTAGAAGTCCGGATTAAATAATAGGGTACTTTTTATCCCTGAAAAATTTGATATTCCCTAGGGAAAACAAAAATATTGGTATAGATGGCGCTGTGTGTATTGGTATATGTCAAATTGGCTTTTTATCCTTTTGTGACGCGAGCGAAGCCGCGGGTAAAAGCTAGTGTAGTATAAAATGCTAAGGTTGGAGTTTAATATCTTGTCAGAAGGTCACTGTGGTTGCTCCTAAATACTTCAGAGTTGAAAACTTTTAGTGGACTTTAGGAATTTAACCCTTTTATCACAATTGTTAACTAAAGTTTTTTAATTATTTCACTATTTTAGTAAGTTAATATAATATTATACAACAGTTAGTTACCATATTTAATTCTTTGTTACGTAATTGAACGCTTTTTTATTATAAAAAAGCTATAACTATCGTGACATACTAAATTAACTAAAATCGCGGGCTACCCACGTGAATATACCGAGAAAAGCTCTATTAGTTTCGAACCACAGAGGGGTTCTTCCTCGTGAGCAGCGTGCGCGGTCGCGGCCATGTCGCGCAGCCTACTGTGAACTACTGAACGCTTTTTTTTTCATCCCATAGGAGCATTTAATCGGGATAAAAATTCAATTGCAATCACCTAAGTCAGCCTGCTTTTATACCAAATGTCATCAAAATCCGTTCAGCAGGTTTAGCGTAATTGACGAACAAAAACCCAAACAAAGACACTATCACATTAGTGTGATAAAAAGTTGGGAACCTTCCGATTTGCGATTAATTGAAATTCTTCATTTTGCTCTGAAATTTTTTATCTTTAAAAAGAGGTTTTTAATATTATTTTACCAATAAATGCCTATTGTTTTTGAACACGACTTTGACTGCGTCGTTGGCCGAGTGGACACAAGTGCGACTGCCAGGCATGGGGTCTCGGGTTCGATTCCCGGGTCGAGCAAAGTATTACTGGGTTTTTCATAAATTCTCAGTAGTAGAATGAAGTCTGAAATTGTGCCCGGTATATGGCAATAGGTTCATCCCCTATTACATGGGACTCATAACATAAATAGTGAAAATTGTGTGTTACATTGTGCAGTGGCATTAAGTGCCGTTATATACACCTCTGTCTACCCCTTCGGGGATTAAAAGCGTGATGTTATGCTATGTTTTTGAACGTACAATCAATACCATAGATAAACCGTTATTATATACCATAGATATATTATTTATATGTTTCTGTGATCAGTACCTATACATTCGTCCACCATTTATTAATCAATTTATACACTTAAATATCATCTAAATCTGTTGTTAACCAAATAGTAAACAGGATTACTGTGAAATTTTCAACTGAATAGCTATTAAGGTTGAGTAAATAATTTCCTATGATAGAAAAATAGACGGACAGACAACGTCAGCTTTGTATTGCTGAGGAACCCTTCCTTTGTTTATAAAGTACCTACCTTTACTTACTTTGATACAATTCAGGAGGTACCTACATAGGTACGTATATATCTTTATATATACAATTCTTCTGTGAGTGTGTATGTCACTGAACTTCTCTCAAAAGACTGGACCGATTTTGAAGAAATTTTTTGTGTGTGTTCAAGGGGATCTGGGAATGGTTTAGATTCACAAATCAGCCCGGCAGATGGCGCTGCAGTTGTTATTTAGGTTATTTATCCTAAACGGCTGAACTAATTTAATTTAATTTTTGTTTATACATTCAAGTGGATATGCAGGACAACGTCTGTCGGGTCCGCTAGTATTAATATAAAACAAACATACAATTTCACAGATACATGATACCCAAACCCGAAAAATCATTTTGTAGATCACACAGAGTTGCTCCGTGAACCGAACCCGCTACACGTTATGCGGAAGCCGGCAGTAATATCACTTGTTTTAAAATGTAAAAGAAATTACATCGAATAAAAAAAAACTCCTCACATGTTCGACTTTTCGTAAAGTAACAACTGACTACTACCAACTAACTACCAAGTACCTTGTTAGCCGAGTGGTCGCAAGTGCGATTGCCGGGCAAGGGGTCTCGGGTTCGATTCCCGGGTCAGGCAAAGTACTACTGGGTTTAAAAAAAAACCAGTACATAAATGTATAGTAATTGTGCCCGGTATAGGCAATAGGCTTACCCCCAATTACATTGGACTCATAACATAAATAGTGAAAATTGGGTGTACAGTGTTATTAAATTACAATGTAACACCCACTTTTCACTATTTTTGTTATGAGTTCCATGTAATAGGGGGTGAGCATAATGCCATATACCGGGCACAATTCCATACTCCATGCATAATTGATTTTTTTTAAACCCAGTAGTACTTTTCCCGACCCGAGAATCGAACCCTAGACCCATTGCCAAACGTCGCACTTGCGACCACTCGGCCCACGAGGCAGTCTATAGTCTATATACATATATATTATGGTTATTTGAGAAAACTGCTTAAATTCCAAAACTAAACGGCTGCTAGTAAATATAAAGTCGGTCAGCAAATTTTTGATGAGCGAACATATTTTTTGCCAACGTTAAACATAAAGTTATATTATTTGATAACCTGCAGCTGTAGCCAAATGTCAAATTACATGGAATTGACGTAAATTTTGACACTTGTCTGTGTCATTCCCATACATTTTGACTTCAACTCTCTCTGTAGACAAGCGCTAAAGTGGCGTTTGGCTAAAGGCCCAGGCGCTCTATAGGCGTTTTGAGTTATACTATGGTTTTATCACCTTTCACAGACCACTGGTTGAGAATAGCTTAGCCAAGAGACTGGCTACTAACCAAGTTCATATCGGATAGACATATTAAGTTATCTATCTTCCAAAGAGTTCGCAATCGGTTCGGAGGTCGGACTGAGAAAGAGCCGAAATCTTTTTTTTATTTTTAAACCAGCTGTTTGTTATGAACGGCTTCATCTGCGAGATTAAAATATTTCTATGACACTCTCTAACCCCCTAACTATATGTGAGTGAGAGTGTCATAGATATGTCTTTGGATACATAATAATAATCATAAACTCCTTACGTCATAAAAAATGTCAAACATACACATTTTCCCACTTATAATATTAGTAACAATTTCAAACATTAAGTTAAGCTAGCTTATACTAATTTCCACGTTGCTAAACAAGTAAATATAACCACTGTTTAATTTTACCAAGTAGTTATTCATCTGCCTCAAACTATATTTACCATGACAAAACTAGGTTATTATCACAGCACAACAAATTATTATCCTATCACGCATATTATGCATAATAGGGATGATGACAGGGTCTGAAAATTAAAAATTTAATTAGTCTGTAAGTTAGGTAATAAAAAAATATTAGACATGCCACGTATTTTTTATGTTTTCGTATAATAAAACAATACTTAGATAAAACGAATTAAAGTTTAGGAGTGTGGGCTAAAACGTCATTTCTACGTATAAAATGTACATAGAAGTGATGTCACGCGACATTTTAAATAAATATATCGGCGAAAGTAATTGTTTCTGTAAGAAAATAAAAAATATGTGTCTAATGATTTACAATAATCTACCAGACGGACATTATCATAAAAATTAGGCATCTACCTTAGACCGGAGGTAAAGACCCCGTTTCTCATGCATTCGAAACAAACTTACCAAAAGCAAGTACCAATGTGACGTTTTCCGAGTTACTTTCTAAGATTATTTAGACATCACTGACTAAAAGTGAAGGAAAACATGGTAGGGAAAGCTGGACTTATAATTTCTAATTATAAGTTTGAAGTCGCCGACCTGCAATGTGAGTACAAGCTGGGTGATTATTGCTCAAACTTTCTTCGTGTGAGAAGAGACTTTCCTTAGCAGTAAGCACTTATAGGCTGATGATGACGCATATGCTTTTGATGTGAAGAAATTTTCATATGTATAACAGTTAAGTAATAAAGATTGTACTTAATAAGAAAACGAATTCAACAAAATCAAGACATCAAAGAAGCAAAAGACGTTTGAGAAAACCAATTAAAATCACTGAATCGGAAATTGTGTACTAATTTTCAAAGTTAACAGTAATAACTATTACTTAATGTTACTCAAAAGAGGGCAAGCTAGACTGCGTCCTAAGCACATAGGTTCAAAGTCAGAATTTACTTACAATATTTGTTGAGGACTTAAAGAGACTGAGAATGGAAATTAAAATTGACTTCAAGGTTTTGTATTATGTAAAGAAAGGAAGAATTTATTTGACAGTAGGCACGCACACAGATACAAAAATAATACAATATTAAAATGTAGGGTTTCTGCAATCTGAAACATAAGATCTGTGTAATAAATGTTACTAACCATTAGGTTCGCCTCTTGTTCTTAAGGCTTGTTGTAGAATAATTAATATAACAGAGTCTCTTTCGGTACGGTAGTTATTTGCTAACAACTTTGATATTCGAAATTTTGAACACAAATTCAGACTGATTTCGTACATAACATAACATCACGCCTTTTATCCCCGATGGGGTATAAGGTGCACATTATGCCACTGTACAATGTAAAACCCACTTTTCACTATTTATTTTATGAGTCCCATGTAATAGGGGGTGAGCCTATTGCCATATTTCAAGACTCCGTGCTACAACTGAGATTTAAAACCCAGTAATACTTTGCCCAACCCGAGAATCGAACCCGAGACCCCTTGCCCGACAGTCGCACTTGCGACCACTCGGCCAACGAGGCAGTCTGATTTATGCCGGAATACTGAAACGTTACTCAATTTTAAGTCGTGCTCAAATATCGTGCCATCTCTGTCATTTTACAAAGAATTTGTAGAGATAGAACTATACTTAAGCACGACTTAAAATTGAGTAGCGTTTCAGTATTCCAACATTAGTCTAGAAAAATATTGGAGGACATCGAAATTATCGCTAATTAAAGAGAGGATTTGCCCTTAAAAGTTTTTTGCATATTTGAGAACATCGAAGTTATCGGCTACAGTAGAGGATTTGGCCTCAAATTATTTAGTCAGCAGTCTTTATATTGTTACATAGTTTTCCTTTCCATCATCGTACCACAAGACAATCGGCGACGCGTCACCTATTCATGGTAGATGTTTCACCCACACGCACGAAGCGCTTCGCATTAAACATCCTTGTGCGTACTGCTAAGGAGTGGAATTCTTTGCCAGAGTCTGTATTTCCTGAAGGGTATAACCTGGGTGTCTTCAAGGCCCGAGTGAATAGGTTGCTTATGGGACGACGTGCTCCATCGTAGACCGCGTCATCGCTTACCACCAGACGAGATAGAGGTAGGATAACCTCTATCTCGCCTGAATATATCAAATATAAAAAATATAGTATTTTTGTGTTGTTTCAGATACTCGGATAAAAACCACATACTGTGCACAGAGAGGCGATGTAGTACGGCAATACTCAGCAGCTTCATACTACCGCCTATTCTCTGTATACCTACATACATGGTGAGTTTTATTTAGGTATATTGTTATCAAAAAACTGTAACTTAACCTCTTGACTGCCGGTATATAAAACACAATAAAAAATACATCGATAAAAATACTCGCGTCGATGTGCGTTCCGGCACACGACGGGTTAAGTTAAAGAATTAGGCAATAATTTGGAATTGTTTAACTGTACCGTATAATCAGCTAGTACTAATTTTATTTGCCTTATCAGCCAAAAACAAAAAATAAGGACTTTGACTGCCAATAAAAAACTGTTGAAGGTAAATCCTCCGCTAACGCCGGTCACCGGTGACCCCCATGGCGTTCAACGTGTTAATACCATATTGTTTAGTAACGTAGTGATAACTGTTTGTTTTAGTGTTAAGGTTATTGCACACCTAATAAGCACGTCTCCGGCAGGCTCAAGCACGACTCTGGTACAGCTCAAGCAATGCGTTTCTTGATTTGAAAACAAAAAGGTTGTAAGCGCTCCACCGGTGCGCGGACGGTGCTTACAGCTTTTTTATATTGACGTTATGAAATATGTCATACGACATACGTTTTAAAGTTCATATATAAATGTCAAGTTAATTGCTGAGTTGGAGCCGTGCCGATAGCCGTGATGAGAAGAAAATATTCTAACATCTATTCTCCCCATTTTTGTACCTATCTATTCACCTCTCAAATTGTATGCACACCATTGCACTGTTGTAAAAAGTACCTTATTTTTAACTTACATAGGTACTTTTTAAGGTGTTTTAAACTGTCAAACACCAAGCGGTCACCGGTGACCGCGACCCATTGTTCTTTAATTGTGTCTATAAAACCGGTACTCGACGAGTTAAATTGTATAACGGTGATATATGTATACCTATGTTTATTACTTGTCACATAAAAACTACTGAACCAACTTTTAAATAGCAACAATTAGTTATATGAAATCGTAATTTACGCTCGAGATTCGAATCATCATAAGCTTAGCTTCGGTTACGTAACAACAGGTAATTGCAATTCGCTTCAAAGCATACCTCAGGTCAGATTACTGGCATCGTGGACATTCTAGATATTTCGACCTAAATTCTCTTTAACTAGGAAACAATATTATACCGGTTTTCCATCTAAATGTTAAAAATACTAGTGACTACCTTTCGAGGAATAAAAGGAGTTATGGTTCCTATAATCATCATGCCTTTTATTTGTCTATGGGGCAGGCAGAGATGCATTCACTTTTCACTCTGTAAAATTTTATATGATTTTAGTTTCGGACCTAGAACATTTTTTTTAATTACAAACCTATACCAGGAAACTAGTCGCGGAGAACCTAACGGATAACCGGGGCTCCGGCTCGACATGCAGCAGTAGGAACGGGGTCTATTTAGTCAGTGAGAGTCTGACACTCCCTCCCGCCTCAGCCGGGCGGGAGGAGTCATTGGATGATTTTCCCCCCTTAAAAAAATGCCAGCGAAAAACTTTAGTGTTATTCCAGACCATAACTTACCCCTGTTCCAAATTTCATTCTGATCCATTCACCCGATTTGAGGTGAAAGAGTAAAAAACAATCACACAAACTTCCACATTTGATTTTGTATATTGATTGTAGATTGGTATTATTGCCTAAAGTGATTGATTTAGTACGCCATATATGGCAAAACATGTACACTCTGTACTAACCAAAAAAAACACCTTCATTGTAATTACTCATGTTTTACTAAATAAATATATCTTTATCATAAATAGTGAAAAGTGGGTGTTACATTGTACAGTGGCATAATGTGCACCTCTGCCTCCCCCTTCGGGGGTATACATACAACAACAAACAACAACAACAACAGCCTATAAATGCCCACTGCTGAGCAAAGCCTCTTCTCACACGGAGAAGGTTTGAGCATTAATTACCACGCTTGCTATCAATGCGGGTTGGCTTCGGGGATAAAAGGCGTGATGTTATGTTATGTATTGTATTATCAATAGAGGTACACGTCCCTACATATTATTTCCACCAGACTGAAACAATTTACTTACAGGCAAATTGCTAGTACTAAGTAATGAAGTTACACATTTGCGGGTGTCTGGAGACAGACTTTCTTTACAAATTATATTTATCAACTTAGACATATCCTAATGTGGAGAATTATTCAAAATTTTTCAATAGGGTCTATTGTACAAAACACAAATTCTAGTCCTACCTACGAATAAAAAGCGGGTTGAAACACGTCACATTCAATGCCTGTAAAATAAATAGTTTATTTAACAATTATATTAGGACTTGTTTACCGTCCGCTACGAGGATAGAAAGTAAACCGTACAAACTGAGTTATCCTATGTCGGGGCAACAAATGAGTTTTACGTGACTTCGAGTGGCGCTAATGTAGCGACGGGACCTTTTGTTCTTTTTTTTTTTGTTGTAGTGGAGCGATTCTGGAAAAATCCCAGGGAGTCAGACGTGCTGTTATAAACCTAATAATAATGCTTATTACACCAATGACCTGCATACCAAATTGCCTGTGTGTTAAAACTGCATTGATTTACGTCAATCACAAAATTCTACATCAGCAATTTTTTTTTAAACGTTGCCCCACATTAGGGTTCTCTCCTGTGTCGTGGTTTTATCCCCGAAGGGCTAAGCAGAATTTCACGTTATGGCACTTAATGCTACTGTACATTGTAACACCTACTTTTCACTATTTATGTTATGAGTCTCATGTAATAGGGTGGTACCTATTGCCATACACCGGCACAATTCCAGACTCCGTACTACTACTGAGATTTTTCTTAAAACCCAGTAATACTTTGCCCGATCTGGAAATCGATCCCGAGACCCCTGGCCAGTCGCACTTAGCGAACGAGGCAGAATTATTAAATTTAATCTGACCTAAACTACGGATCAAAGCTTAATCAATATTTTATAATGTATCCTACATACACGGCTCTCTAATCCGGTCATACAATATACATTTGCAATAGTTGTTTAAAACCATTAGGGAATAATTTGGATAATGAGAGCATAGTTATAGCTGTGAAGGACTATTTGTTGCATATATTGGTCAATAATATTTTGAATGCTGATTGTGTTACCTTCCTAATTTTCAACTATCATTTGCTAATTTGGAAGGGAAATTATTATATAACGCATATTAACCTTACGACATGTGTGGTTCATTAATATAATTTGCAATTGGACTGTGTTCTAGATTTTGTTTATTGGGCATTATGTTAGTATTGTACCTGGTGTATAGCAATTAGCTTACTCCCTGCTACATGAGATTCTTAATACAATTATTGGTGAAAACTGGGTGTTATTGACTGTCTCATTGGCCGAGTGGTCGCTAGTGCGACTGCCGGACAAGGGGTCTCGGCTTCGATTCCGGGTCGGGCAAAGTATTACTGGTTTTTCAAAAAAATCTCAGTAGTTGCATGGAGTCTGGAATTGTGCCCGGTATATGGCAATAGGCTCACCCTTTATACATGGGACTCATAACATAAATACTGAAAAGTGGGTGTTACATTGTACAGTATCATTAATTGCCGTAATGTGCACCTCTGCCTACCCCTTCGGGGTTAATCCCCGAAGGGGTAGCGTAGGGAAGGCGTGATGTTATATTATGTTATGTGTAACTGGGTTTTACTAATATGTATAACCCTGCTTATAAATCTCCCAATCGATTTCGATCATGGTGGCCAGTCTAACTAGACAAGCCCATTACGCAGTAGATATTATATTGCACAAGTGTGTTCGCAAACACAAGTGCATTCTATGTACCCTCTCTGAACTCAATGGGACAGCAGACCGACAAGACCGGAGACAGATCAGGCGCAGGACCAACGGGTGTATATTATACTTTCCAAAGCACGGGGTTGAATCACCGCCAAACTTCCTGACTCCGGGCTAATAATGGTCATTTTACTCAGAAAATATCATTACTTATCACTTTTGACCGGCGCGGGATTCAAACCAGTATAACAACCGTGCAACTCTGCTTACCGCTTTAGGAAAAACTCGTGTTATGTTTCTATTAAATCTAAAACCATACAGTCAGCAATCTGACTTACAACTAATAGATCAACAAGCCAGTCATTCTAAAAAACTGATATAAAAAATTCCACCCAAAAATATGGCATGACATTGAAAAAAGGTTTTCGTTTTTTATCCCACTATTTGCAGATGATATATGGGCCGTAGTAAAGCCATCAGTGATAGGTAAGCATTCAGTCGAATCAATGAAGTGTACATTTCTTGCGTAGAACCTCAATGACTGAACGAAAATGGTTGAATGAAAATCCTATGAGCTGATAAACATAGTAAAATCTGTTAGAATATTTAAAGTACCTATTGGAAATTGCCATATTATTCCTATTGGTAGTTTTTTTTTAAGGCGGGATAATCATCGAATGACTGCTCCCGCTTGGGTGAGGCGGGAGGGAGTGTCAAACTCTTACTGACTAAAAACCACCTCGTTCCTTCTCCTGCATGTCGAGCCGGAGCCCCGGTTACCTGTTAGGTTCTCCGCGACTCCTATTCGTAGTTTGAAGACACAAATTACGCTACCAACGTATTTTTTTATTAAAGTTGGAACACACTTCGTCCGTCGAATAATTGCTAATGTGACTGCTGAATAAGGGGTGTGTTTCCCAGGACTGATAATGTATTAAATAATTGATTTATTTCCTCTAACGGTACAGCATTAGTGAATGAATTGTGCCGATAATGGCAATAATAACCCGAGCGTGCGGCGCGTCGAGTTCCACGCGCGCCTCAAAGAGCCATCAGACCACCACGGATGGGGCCCAACAGGGCTGATGCTGATTTGGAGTCACGGAGAACCTAATGGGTTACCGGTGCTCCAGCTCGAAGCACAGGAAAAGGAACGGGGTGGTTTTTAGTCAGTAACACTCCCTCTCGCTTCATCCAGGCGGGTGCAGTCATTCGATGACTATCCTCCCTTAAAAAAATGGCACCCCCTAAACACATACGACTCATAACGGGTGAAAACTGGACGTATTTCGGCTAAATTCGGTTAAAATGCTAAATCATATTATATTATCATGTGTACAATTCAATAAGCATGAATGCCGAAGCACTTATATAGAGTACACTAAGCCTACTATAAGGTACTTACGTCCATTCCAGTGATATTGGCAACTATACAGTATTTCTCTTCGCTTTCAATACCTTCCTCAATGCAATTGTTCAAGTGGTGAACTTTCTCAATAGTCTTGTGGCATGCAGTTTAAAACACGATGCTGTATTTTTTACACGTGTATGTACTTGTTATGGACATGACTTATTCATTGTTTATTATGGTTTATTCAACAATAAAATGTTAATAAATTTCCTGACCTAAATTTGATATTTTTTATTACATTAATTGATTAAACACACGCGTGCATTTATAAAATAACGTTTTTACTGGAAATCCGAAGTTAATCTGGACAATTCATAGTTCAAATTTTACTATTCATGTGAATTTAATGTTTACACTGCTATATAATATGAAATATTCATACTCCATGTGTGAATATCATCAACTATGTACCTTTCACAAAAAAAATTATGTGAAATCATTTATTTAAACTTGATTTACAATGCATGTAAAACTTATTTCATGTATTATCTGCGGTTCATTTGGAAATTAGGATGATAAGTCTCACCACGTGGATTGTGATTGCATTAATAATGCTATGTAATAAACTGTATCTAGAACAACAATATTATCATCAACAACAACAGCCTATAAGTGAGCTACTGAGCAAAGGCCTCTTCTCACACGTAGAAGGTTTGAGCATCAATCACCACGCTTCCTCAATGCGGGTTGGCAATTTCAAACTTATAATTAGAATTATAAGCCCAGGTTTCCTCACGATGTCTTCCCTTCACCACTTGTCTGTGGTGTCTAATTATCTTAAAAAGTACATATAACTCGGAAAAAGTCACATTGGTACTTGCTGTTGGTAGGTTTCAAACCTGCACCCTTATGGATTAGAAGCGGGCGAATTAAACCTCCGGAACATCTCGACCTCGAGAATAGTACCTATTATAAGTTATAAGCATTTTTTTAAGTGTGGGAAAGCCACGAGAGTGACACCACGGCCTCGGAGAAAACAGACGCGAAACAACGCTTGCATTGTATTACGTCGTCTTAATGAGGTTACCGGAGGCCCAATAACACTCCTCCCTAATCTCTAATCCCCGAATCCCAACAATCCTCATATTCCGAACGGTGGCAACGAACTTGTAAAATTTGAATCTGGTGTTTCGGTTGTCTATCAGCGGCACCGATAGCTTACCGTAGCATAAAAAAGCCACTTCAGTAAATTAATCTTTACGTATATTATAAATCGGAAAGTGAGTTTGTTTGTTTGTTTGTTCCGCTTTCACGACGTAACTACAAAACCGATTGCTTTGAATTTTTGCAGACGTAAAGTTAGAAGTCCGGATTAAATAGTATTACTTTTATTCCGGAAAAAAATGGTATTCCCGAGGAATAGCAAAAGTATTGTTATAGATGGCGCTGTGTCTATTGGTATATGTCACATAGGCTACTTTTTTCCTTTTGTGACGCGAGCGAAGCCGCGGGTAAAAGCTAGTTTTTATTAAAATTTTATTTATCTAAACAAACATAAAACTAATTTCATATTTTCAAATTATACAAGGCATCATACAAAAATAATTCGATACAAATTATTATGAACGACGATTTTTCTTGTATATTTTAATATTTCATTATTTTCTAAACCTAAAAATAAAAATTGAAGTTCTGCTGTTAAAGGGAAATTAGATTTTTACATAATGAAAGGCACAGAGGTTTCCAAGAACATTACTCTTTGAAGCGTAGGTTCCGGGTTCAATTATGAATTAATATTAAATACTGATACAGTAAAAAGGCGAAAGTATGAACAATGGAGTAGGAAGCTCAAAGGAACTTTTCTTTTTTGTTATATGTCTGTATAATTGAAACTGTATGTTTGATACAAGCAAACTGCTAAATGAAATAAAATTACAGCTTTAAATATTGTAGATTCCCAGAATAGCCATGAATTAATGAATTGGAAATGGTAAATAATAATAAACTACACTTTTTTTATAGGATAAGCCGGTAAACGAGCAGACGGTTCACCTGATAGTAAGCAATTGGCGTCGCCCATGGACACCTGAGATTCCAAAGGCGTTACAAGTGCGTTATCGGCCTTTTGGGAATTGGGATTCGGGGATTGGGGAGACTAGGCAGGGGGGTAATTGAGCCTCCAGTAACCTCACTCATACGACGAAACACAACGCAAGTGTTCTTTCACTTCGGATTTCTGTGAGGCTGTGATATCACTCCGGTCGAGCCGACCCATTCGTGTCGAAGCATGGCTCTCCCACACTTGACTATACAGAAATATTGGATAATTTATTTGAGTGATAATGATAAGAATTATTTGAAAGAAAAAATAATGTCAATTTCACTAGTAAACCCACACCTCAGTACCCGTACGAAGGCGAGAAGTATCACTAATTAAAAAAATATTTTTATTTGTTCATTCATTCATACTGTTTTGCTCTTCAGGTATTCGACATTCACACCGCAGTGGTCCTAGAACCTTCAGGACCTATGATACTCTACCACGTGGACTCCGACGAAGAAGGCCAACTATACCAGATAAATTTCTGGGTACACGCCGTCGTCATAAAGCTGCTACCATGCTGCATACTAACAGTCATCAGCTTATGGCTGATTAGAGAAGTATACAGCGCCAACCAACACCAGAAGAAAATAAGGGTTTATAACAAATGCCCGACCAATAACAAAGCGGTGAAAAGACAGTACAAGGCTGATAGAAGAACGAATAGAACGACGAAGATGTTAGTCGCAGTCTTACTTCTATTCCTTGTGACGGAACTGCCTCAAGGGATATTAGGGTTGCTAAGTGGTCTACTTGGAAGATGCTTCTTCAAACGATGCTACGACCTTTTTGGAGAGCTGATGGATGCTCTAGCGCTGCTGAATGGAGCAATCAACTTCGTGCTGTACTGCTCCATGTCACGGCAGTTCCGAATGACGTTTGGGCAGATGATGTGGCGCGCGCACTTACACCGCTGGCCTCCACCGACCGGCTCACAATCCGATGGACAAAACACGTGGGTATTGCGAATATTCTCGAGTACATGTTTAATAAACATTTTAACAGCAAAGTATTTATGGGAGCAAAAATAGACGTTAGACGTAGACAGCGAACGTGCGTAGTTGCAAGATGTCTAGATACTAATAGTACGTCAATCTACAGTTCAAATATTTTCTGTTGAATTGCGCAGGTAGCAGTCAATCTTCAAAACGAACTAGTTTTACGTGCGGATTCGAAGAATACAGAACTTTTAATAATTATATAACTCGAGGCTTGAGTTTTTGTAGTTCAATACGTTAGAAGATTTGATTTTTGAAAGAAATAAAAACACTATTCCCGTTACGCATATTAGTGATTTCTTGATGTCCTAACTAACGCCAATGAACTATCAAATTAAACTTGAAATTACTCCCAATTAAACCCGAAATAACCCCTCGGACTGAGGCTACATTATTCGTTAATCCCTTGAAGGCTTTAAAGGCTTTTGACTTCTCATAGTTGATTTATTTTATGGACAACCTGACTAGAAATCTTCTAGTCAGGTAAAAATCCATACTACGATATTCCTAAAACTGGAAAAAAATCACGTAACATTAGTTCTTCGAATGAATAAGCACGTGGTTTACGATTTCATTACGATGTATTGTTTTAATTTACCTACTTTATTACTTTTGCAAATTAATGGTAGTTATTATAATGGAGCTAATGAATAACTTATATGTATAATTTTGATAGCTGATACTGTTAGCTGTGAAGCTTCATAAAGATGATTGATGATCGACAAAGTGATTCTGGCTAATGAAATGAGGGCATTTTGTCATAATGCTTACATAGTCATGGGCATTATTATTGGCGTCAATATTGCAATGTCATCAATGTCGTATAAACTTTTAGGTACCTTTTGAAGTTAAAGTTGAAAATTGACGTGGTTACCCTGATTAATTCATACTTATGTGGTGGGATTGCTGCCAAGCGAGGCATCTTAACTTAGAAAGGATTAGATATAAACTCGAATAAAAAAAAAACTTGAATGTACAGTATGCATAATTAGTCTAGAATCGAGTACAGGGTACACTGGCAATTTTAATTAGAATTATAGCAAGTCGGTACTTACGATATGATAGGATTATTCGTGGAATAGAAAAAACTATGGTCTACCCCGTCAGTGTCGGTCACCACTGACAAGAACACATTCTTTAGTTTGTCGACTATAGCTAACTGTGGCGGTCAAAAGGTTAACAATGAAGTGAGTTACATAAGTTATATTTTGTGGGGTACATAGAGATGTACCATTAATATGCAGGACTTTTGCCAGTTATGTGAATATTTACATTTATAATAAGGACGAATCTATTACACCGCGCTCTTATTACTTTAGAAAATCAAAAATGTTAAAATATTTCACTCTATAGAAGATACTCCTCAATTTTCACTCAATGACACTGATTGTTGACTATCAATTCAAATTCAAGACAGATTCACAAATATTTTTACATCAATGGGACTGATTACGTGGCGTCTTCTTTTTTTATACCTAGCTACGAAAGCTTTTGAAAATTTTTGCATAGAAAAATATTTTTGAATATGTTTTTAAAATGAGTTTTTCTCAGACTTTTGAGTGACATTCATAATATTGTAGCGGAGGAAAAATAAAGTAACAACAAATGTGAAAAATACTGGACAACTACAAAGCACATTGAGTGCTCTGGGGGCTTAGACAAAGTAACAATTTAAAAACGATAACGAAGTTAGTTAAGACTAAAATGTATGGGATTGACATAGGCCGCGTTAAGTCACGTGGTCAATCGACATCGTTATCGCAATTTGGTAGACAATGTTATATTTCATAACGAAACTATAAAGTAACGAATCGTTATCGTGTTTATTCCATATAAATGCGTAGACAAGCAGACCTTTCAGTGTTCGCCAACGCCTCGATCGTGATCGCCAAAAACGATAACGAAACGAATGCTAAAAGGTTGTAGTTATTGAAACAATATGGCCGAATTTCATTATTGATCCTGTTATTATTTATTTTGTGTTAGAGGCAATACACTAATACAGATCAAATAGATTTAAAAATGCATTCTCTGCGTTTATTGTGGGCTGCACACAATGAGACCGACTGGGAGAGACGCCAAAAATGATTAAGACAGCGTCGATTCAATATAGGTACTTCATTGTTAAGATCGCGTCATTGTTTACATTACATACTCATGAATGAAACTTAGATTTACTTACGTTTCCATATACTCGAGCAGCGTTGCGAATTGTTCAGGACTTGCTCGCACTCTTGATTCCATGTTTTATCAATAAATATTAAAATAGATAAGAAATAGAGAGAGATCCATCATCGTTTGAACACCAGTCACTTATAAAAATGAGTCTATTTTGATTATCATTAAGTTTTGGAAACGATCTAAAAGTAATAACACTCTATTCACTTACGACTGTAAAATTATCGTTTATATTTAACTTAAAAACAATTACACGCAACACTCACTTTCTTATTAATAAAGTTTTAAAACATCAATATCTCGCGAGTTTGATCCGATTTGAACTTTTTGACTGTCACTGACAGCTGGATTTTCGATACCATAACCAATATTTTTGTTTTTTGCCGAATAAAGAATTCGACACAACGATCACGACCATAGTGTTACATTGGCTAGGAAATGTTTATCGTTATCTCAGAGACGATGGCGAATTTACTTTTCGTTTCGCTATTAAGCGATGTTACTTTGTCTAAGGACCCTGGTTCGATACCAGAGCTGGTTTCTTTTTTAGTCTAGTTTTAATTAAAGCATTTAACTTATCATATTTTCAAGTGTCTTCATAGTCTCAATTCCTATTGCAATATAACTAATAACAAAAACTATTACTAAAAATCATTAATTAGATCTCATGTGTCACAAAATATATTTCTTTTCTTTTTATTTTTCAGGGCAAAGTCGTCGATTCCTTGAGGAAGGTTTGTACAAGAGAAACATGCGAATGTTTTGCAGCATTTTCTGTAAATATTATAAGTATTTGAGTACGGCCATATTTAATAACGAATTGTATTGTAGTTTTAAATTATTATGACATTAAGTACACCGGGTTATGTTTGTTACTTTCTAAGATTTTAGTTTTTTAGCATGTAATTTGATTGGATAGAATATTGTTATTTATAATTTATTATTGGCATTACACATAATTTAATCATTAAATAGGTTATTAAATGATACCCATTATGAAGAAATGTGTTGTTACTATGATTTTCGTCCACAAATACAGACGCAGACGTATAATTTATAATGTCTGATACGAATTATCAGACATTATAAATTAAGTTATTTTTATGTTGGTGTATCGTATGTTATGTTATTTTTATTAGGTAAAACGGTAAAATGGGGGAATAGGGATCAAGTTGTGAATAGGGACAGAAGAGGGGTGGGTTGATATTATGAAGAATTTCCCAATATCCCAATATCTATTCAACCCTCTTCTGTCTCCATTCACCTCTTGATTCCTATCCACCCCATTTTACGGTATGATATACGTTAACGTTAATATGTTATGTATTTATGTACAAGTTATTTGTACCAAAGACCAATTTATGTGGACGAAAATGTATGTACATTTCATATTTTAGTTCTACAACAGCACCTTTAGGCATCATTCCAACTTTATGAGGAAATAGTTAATATATCTTTTTATATAACAATATTGTAAGTGTTTATTTTGTGATTACTTTTACTTGCTAATAGGAGTTATTTTTTTTAATTGTACATAATTATTATTAAAGTAATTCATAGGTATCTATAGAATTAAGGATTATGAATATTTTTCACGAAATGTTATTGTATTATAAATTACATTATATTTATTAATAGGCTTAAACAGTTCTAGTCTTTCTCCCACTCACTTTATAATTAGGCAAGCCATTAGTAAAAAAATGAAATAGTTGTTTTATTTTGTTCTTATTTTAAATTTTTATACATAACATGTTACCCAATTATATCATTACACAGAATGTATTCCACAGATGACTAATTTTTATTTTCAAGTCTATGTAGTAGATTATTTTAAGACATTAGACACGTATTTTTTATTTTCTTCCAGTAATCCATATTTTCGTCGATATATTGAAATAAATTATCACGTGGCGTCACTTCTAGGTGCATTTTATACTTACGATTGACGTAGCTACAGTGCGCGCGAAACTGGCCACGCTTTTGGCATAGTGTAAAGAAAAGGGAAGTAGGCCATCTTCTTCCCATTCCGCGATATAATTGCCTACTGTCTTAGGGTTGTCACTTTTAGTTAAATTATATTTTTTTAAATTACATACCAAGATTGTTTACCTTTAGTTAACCACATAAATCGATAGACCATAGTCAATTACTTATTTTGAATTACGATTTTGTAACTGTAAGTAGGTAGGTACTTAGTTACTATATCTACCTACAATACTAAGAAATCGACATAACCATAACTAAACGTAAACAAAACAATAGCGACAAATCAATAATAATCAATTTCTTTATACTATGCTTTTGGTGGCAACACATAGCTAAAGCGCGGCCAACTAGTTCCGCGCGCACTATAGTGCTATAGCTCCCACTACTTAACTTTGATTCGTTTCATCTAAGTATTCTAAAAAAAAACGTGCCTAATATTGATTCATTTTGTAACTGAAGGACTAAATAGATTTTTCTTCCGACTGAAGGAACTAGAGGACTAAATAGATGTGTATCGTATGTATATTGAATACATGTAGTAAAAAGTTATTATTTTAATATTAAAAACAGACCCTCCAATTTACTTATCTGTTTAAAAAAGTCGTATTCCACTCCTGTTTAATTTTCGAATAACAATTGACCTACATTTGACATATTTTATCGACCTATATGTAGATACCTAATACATTTCAAATTCAGAACACAGACATTAACAGCATTCCTAGCCTGAATGTATGGTGTTTGTTGTATATAGAGGTACATACATAGTTACATAATTATATTGTATCTGTATTCTATAGTCACCTGTGGTGAACTTAATTGCTTACACAATACACTGGGTAGCAGGTCAATCTACTCTTTTCTGTCAAATTTATTTTCAGTTCTATCGTTTAAATATTAAGTCGGAAATGCAATGACAAAAATTGACATACTGGAGTAGTTTTGATGTGCTAGCTAATTGGTCTTGCAGTGTTGACATTGCTCGAGTTTTGGCTTCTAATTACATGCTATGAATAATGTAAATAAACTTAGAGATCATGTATATGTTTATGAAATAGGGATAATGTTTCAAAATCGCTTTCATTTGTTAACATGGGTATAAAAATTTGTTAAAGTAGAATATAATTTTATTCCTGGTCGAAAATGTTTTAAAATGAGAATGATTCAATATGTAGATAAAATTATTAGAACTATTTATATTATGAAGTTAGTTTCTAAGCCTAAAACTCTCTGTAGTTTTGTCATTAAAGCTTTCCACATTAGGAAAAACGGTACAGTGTGTGTTAGTCACAAAAGACTATTTTCTTAACTATATAATTAAATAAAGTGAAGTCCCACACTGGGCGCCATCAATTAAATTGGCGCCCACCGTGGGACACTTTCGAACATACTAGGAAACTTGAAGATAACGTTAAGCTTAATATCATACGATCGGAGAACTTCTTCAAGCCAGAGATTGTCTTAGTTCCGTTATGAAATAATAGAGGGCGTTGATATCTAATGGAGTCGTTTCGTAAAATATTTTTGTAGACTGATGTTTTACCAAAGATTTCTTCATTGTATCTTTTAGATATGTAATTATATTTTATTTGTAAATAGAATATTGGCATTACTTTAATTTTCTTTATAATTGGCTCGCTCTTTTAACTAATTGCTTTTTTGGCTAAGGCATCTTATATGTAACTATAATTTAATAAAGAAGTGTTTGTTATATGAAAAACAAATAATATAAACTATTTCTACGATAACTTCATTTAAGTCTTGTTTCTACCTACTACAGTACTCCTTAAAACCTACTTATATAAATAAATATTTATGTACATACACAAGTTCAGTACGTCTAAAATGGTTGTGTTCATTGACAATGAACATATTTTATGAATTAAAAATATTGAAAGGTGTTCTTATTCATAAAAAATAAGTCAATTTGACATAATGCAAGCTGAAATAATGTAGATATTTATAAGAATAAACGAAATTGAATTAAAATTAATGTTACAATTGTACATTAAAATGTATAAAATAATAAATTATAGAATAAAATAATGCTATTCAGAATAATAATTACCGTAAAATTGCTGTATGTATAACTATGTATGCGTTTCTCTTGTACCCACATGCAAATTAAGGTAGCTTGACGTCTACGCTAATTGTATGTTGTTCAAATATTGCTATTAATGTAAAATGCTCATAAAGAAGTAAAGTTTGTACATATCCTTTTATAAATAAAAGTTTTAATGTGACTTCTAATTGTTTGTAATCCCAATCATATGTGTATTAACGTAACATCACGCCTTTTATCCCCGAAGGGGTAGGCAGAGGTGCGCATTACGGCACTTAATGCCACTGTTAATAATATGCACTGCTACTATTAATCCCAATCATATGTGTATTAACACTAATTAAAAAAAAAAGGTTCCTTTTTAATCACTATCGCGCACAATGTTTCAGGTTCGATTCCCGAAACGATTGACAATTTTAATTTATTTTATGGAATCAGTATACGAGCAGACGGATCACCTGATGGATAGCAATCGGCGCCGCTCATGGACATCCGAAATACCAGAGGCGTTACAAGTGCGTTACTGGCCTTTTGGAGATTAGGAATTTAAGGATCATTGGTGATTTTGGGATTGGGTAATTGGGCTTCCAATACCTCACACAGCTGTGGTCTTATAAAGAGGTAATGCAAGGTTTCAATACAATACCTAATAATTTTCCTAAATGCTATAAAAATAAATTTACCAGTGCCCTGTTAGTACAAAACTCAAGGTCTAGTTTTCATATTTAATTTTATATTGCACTGTTCGAAAAAAAATGGTATACATGATAACATACATTTGTTGATTAATCGATCACAATGACAAATGATTACATAACGAGTTTGTCAGAAGTTCTTGTTTTTCGATTCAGTCACAATTTGTGATAAATGGCTATTTGAAAACAACTCGCAGTTGTTTCGTAAAACTTCGAACATCCCTGAATAATAATGAAAAACAAAATATTATGAAAAAGAAGCCGGATAAGTTATTAGATATTTTTTAATTACAGCGCCATCTATCTTTCGTCGTAGTAAAATATCATAATATTCTTGATTCTTTCGCGATGCTGTAATGATAATATGTAGTCAAAGGGTTTAAATGCATATGTACCTAACTAAACACATTTGAACTAGACCAGTAAATTGCCAATTTTGAATTATTTAATTAATTAGGCTACTCGCTGTGTTGTATTACCATGTAATTAACAGCTAATGAGCCATAAGTATGTTTACTCGCAAATGAACTGTTGTTGGTGAGGATAACTATCACAATTAATTATGATTCAATGTGAATTAGGTAACTTAATGAGCTGGTAACTTTCAACCACACACACTTTATCAAGGTTGCACGGAGGCAACTTTGTCACGATAATAATATCATACAGTATTCCAACTTCATACAAACGGACGAAACGCGGGCTATACCTCTGGGGCTCCGGCTCGACGTGTAGGAGAAGGAACGGGGTGGTTTTTAGTCAGTAAGAGTCTGACACTCCCTCCCGCCTCACCCAGGCGGGAGCAGTCATTCGATGATTTTCCCCCTTAAAAAAAAAATCCCTCCCCGTCTCGATGTCGCGGTGCGCTCGGGGCGCAGACAGTCACGGCTGTACTGCAGTGAAGAAAGGATGGTGTGTTGTTTTTTTTAAAATAACCGCGTGTTTTTTCTCTAATAAGCAGTTCCAGTACATATTTAATATGACGAGTAGGAAATATAGTGCTGTTTTTTGATTGTATTTTTTTGTATTGCAAATATTTTTCGGTCGCAATTTTATAAGCCCGATTTGTTTTTCAAACAAAAATATTTTTTTAATTAAATCTACCAATCAAAAAACAACACGCATTTTTTTTAAAGACTTCTTTTTCCATAGAC